ATCAATGTGTTTGAGCCTAGCCACACCTGGAGATCCTTTTCACACCTGTTTCATAGGAGTCCCTGAATGGGATCCTCAAGCATTTAAAGGTTTGGTTAGTAATGAGACTTGACTGAATCGATTAGCAATGTTGCAAGAGTGCAATCGCACTATTGGTCTCACATCTAGACAACTTGAAGCCTGCTGGCAAGCAAAAATTATCGAAGTTCTCAATGTTACCATAGGGCCCCCAGAAGAATTGGACTTGTTAGGTTCCACCAATACCTCAGGTGGATGGATAATGTTTGAGCCCCAACTGTCGCTCTATTGTGAACAGCAAAAAGAAAGACACAGACTCTCCTGTGGAGTTGAAATGGAGAAATTTCTCTCGGTTTATGACCTCAGGTCTTTTTTATAGACTGATACGTGAAAAGTACAGAAAACTCTTATTGGTTAGTAAACTAACACATCACCATCATTGGTCAGTTCACCACCCCTCGACCTTCTCTTGCAAGAAAACAAGGAACAGACAAACAGCACCTGCAAGGCTGCTTTCTATCTCTGAGGATTGTTTTAATTCCTCCTTATGAATTCCCAGGCAAGACTGAGAAATCTATGCAGCCTGCAATTTCCACAGGCACTGTGCTCTCTGTTTCAGAGTTAGCATCCACAACCGACAGAGAGCCACTCCAATGGGGTGGTGCAACACTGGGCTACAGTCAACCCTATAGTTGATCTCGTTACTCACACTGAGAGTAAAGCTTTTTATTCTCACAGGATGATTACCAAAGCAATTACCTAGTTCCATATTCCTAATCTGTGGAGATAGAGCATGGAATGGAATTCCTGCTAATCCACATAGAGGATCCTGTTATCTTGGGAAACTTACTTTGTTCCATCCAAGTTTACACCAATTGCTGAATGTAGAATGTAGTATAAAATAAAAAAAAAATATATCAAATAGTCAAAGTGAAGCCTAAATGAATTACAATGTAATGATGTTAGAAACCCAGACTTTTGGAATTGTGATATAATATATGCAGCCTCCTTCTTTATTCCAGGAGCAGCTGCTGCTAAAGGCTTAGCAACTCTAAAAAGGCTCGCTTGTTAGACTAAGAAAGAATTGAACTTAACATCCACAATGTTAAGTGAACTTTCAGCTGATGTGAGTAGTGTACATCATGTAGTATTACAACATCAAGCTGCAATTGACTTTTTGCTCTTAGCACAAAGACATGGTTGTGAGGAGTTTGAAGGCATGTGCTGCTTGAATCTTACTGATCATTCAGTTTCCATCCATAAGCAACTACAACAACTACAAGATGGGTTACGTGCCCTGAAAGAAGATGGTGACCCCATTAGAAGTTAGGTCGCCAGCTGAAGTATCTATCACTGGATGGTTGAAATCTCTTGTGCTAGAAGGGAGACAGATTTTACTTATAGTGTTAATTGAAATGATGCTTTTAAGTTGTATGTTATCTTGTCTTCGCAAAAATGTAGAATGAGTCACATCCACAGCCTGTTTTTTCCAAAAAGAGAAAGGGGGAATTGTAGGTGATATTTTAACAGAAGGTGGGCATGAAAGGCCTGTCTGCACAAACCAGCCTCCGGAATAAGTCGTGATATTAAAGACTAAAGTCCTTGAAACTTTCCTGCAAGAGAGAGAATAAAGTAAAACAATATTCTTGTGTACAGGAGAAAAAATGTAAACCTGTGTGTATTAGCCAATAGTAACTTGCTTAGCCCACGAACACTGTAAAACCCTATAAAAGGTGTGCTAAAGATAGAAATAAACGGTGTTCACTCTTCCTTCCGTGAAGACTCGTGAATAACTGGCCATCTCTCAATAGAATCACACCTCACCCGGTTTTCATGTGACCAGCTCCCTTTGGCACAGGCCAGCACCCAGCAACTGGGTTCCCAAGACTGTCCAGGAGACAGACGAGAGGTGTACCAGTGAGGTCTATGAAGAGCCTGCAGGAAAGGACCATTGGAAATTTCACTTCTGAGTACAATGATCCAAAACAGAATCCTCAAAGCAAAACAGCAAGTCTTTCAGTCATCTAGAATTCAACAATGAGCAACAAAGCAACATGACATCGTGCTTTAAATTTTTTTGTAGTTTTCACCAATGCTTTATTGAGAAGTGAACTGCAATGCCATTACACTATTTGTTAGCCTTTGGTTACACTACACATTATTTGACAGCCACATAACTGAAAAAGTTAGGTGCTAGTCAAACCAGAGTAAGACAAGGCAGAGGATTTTTCTTTCCTTGTTGGAAGAAAAAAGGGATTTAAAAACTTATCATTTGTGCTGTTTACAACATGAGAAACTGCATAAAATCAAGTAATCTATGTAACACATGGAAATGCTACATGTTTTCCTGCTGCTTGCAGGTACATACCATAACTTTTTTTTATGTGGGCAGATTAGATCTCTAGTAGTAGTAAAATGTTGCTTCAGATACTCCTTTTCATTAATTTCCTAAGGCAGAATATATAAGGCATTTAAGTTAAATATAGCTCCAGGCTTCTACTGAAACAAAAATTATGAGCAAGTTCTTTCTAGTGCTGAAAGCAACAAGGGTCACTGTGAGTTAGCAGCTATGAGACCTCTTCTCTTGGCTCTCAATCAGCAGTCAGAAGCTGAGCTGAAAGACTGAATTCTTTCTGCTGTACAGATTTATTGCCTCTATAAAATTTCCTTTTGCAAGATTGTTGAGGGCTGCTCCTTAAAAGAGTTTTGCCTGGAATAATCTAAGAAAGATTATGATTTTTGTAAGCATGCTGCTACTCCAGTCAAAATTATCCAGATGTCCTGGGGTGACTTTATGATACTGGTATCCCCAATCGTCCGGTTTATGTTATATATTAAGTCCTGCACCTTTAAGACTGTCTTTGAAAGCAAGAGAGGGGGAAGAAGAAGTGCACAGTGTGTTAAGGAAAACATCACTCCCACACACCCCGCTCCTGGACTGTGTTGTCTGCAGCACGGACAGACAGCGGGACAGAGCTTCTCTCTGGTTTTTAGTTAGTTTTAGCTAGCTGAGGCAGAGGAGTTCCCTGGACCTTTGTTTTTTTCCAATTTTCTTGGATCTGTGCAAACCTGCTCTGGACTGAACACCCAGCCAAACCCCGGGAGCTCACGCCTGTGGCCCACCGGGGCCTGGGCCTCGGCACTTTTCCAGCACTGGAGGGACTGATAAGAACCTGAGCGAGCCGAGCTGCACCACATGAAAAAATACTTTTCTTCCTAGACTTACCATCCCATCGAACAGCAAGAGGTTTTATTATTTAATATTACTCAATTTCTGTTAAATAAACAGCTTTTTCCACTTCTCTCCACGGAATTTTTTTTTT